AAACAAGGTCCAAAACAAAATCTAAATAACTACCGGCCAATTTCTTTAATCTCCAATATTGCAAAGATATTTGAAAAGGTTATTAAGTTACGAATGGTTGCATTTTTGGAAAAAAACAAGATTATATCTGATAAACAATTTGGTTTCAGAGACAACAAATCTACAGAAGACGCGATTTTGAAGTTAACATCTGACATCTATGAAGCCATCGATAATAAAAAAGCATCTCTCTGCGTCTACATTGATCTCACAAAGGCCTTCGACACAGTATCCCACAAAATTCTAGAAAGTAAACTAGAGCAATGCGGCTTTCGTGGCAGTGTTCTAAACCTACTAAAAAGTTACTTGAATAATAGGAAGCAATATGTAAATTTGAACGGAATAAAAAGCAACCTTGGGACTGTGACTTGTGGTGTGCCACAAGGAACAGTTCTTGGGCCTATATTGTTTACAGTATACATCAACAACTTGCTAAAATTACAAGTTGAGGGAAAAATTGGAAGTTTTTGTGATGATACGGTATCTTTTTACTCCGCAAATAATTGGGAAGAGCTCAAACACATTGTAGAGAGAGACTTAAACAAAATTTATCAATGGTTTCAATTCAATAAACTCACATTAAATCAGTCTAAAACCACATTCTTGCCTTTTACCTCATATAAGACAAACTTACCTGACTATGACACAATAAAGATCGACCAGAATTCCATTATCTCAAGGGCTGAACATGTAAAGTACCTTGGAATGGTCATGGATGGTCATCTGAGATGGGACAAACATATACAATATTTGATAAGTAAAACAAGATTCTTAGTTACTAGGTTTGCCCATCTCAGAGACTATCTAGAGGTTGATGATTTGAAGAAGGTCTATTTTGCATTGTTTCAATCCCATATAAATTATGGGCTTGTGGGATGGGGTGGAGCAAGAGATAATTATTTGAGGGATCTAGAAATCTTACAAAAATGGGTGCTTAAAATAATTTATAGGAAAAGCCGATCATTCTCTACGGATCAACTATACAGAGAATCAAAAATATTTGATCCTAAACAACTCTATTTTCAAAAGTTGCTTATGTGTATTAATAGAAAAAAAATTGACATCAACGTTGTAAGTCATCAGCACCACACTAGAAACAGAGAAAATGAGTTAGCTTTGGTCCCAGCAAGTAACAAAGAGATTGGACATAGATCCTTCAAGTTTTTAGCTCCAAAGTTTTATAACTACTTACCAAGAAACCTGAGAGATATTATATTTAGAAAAAAATTCAAAAAATTATTGAAAAATTGGATTACACAAATAAGCAGATTAGAAATCCATAAATTGTTTAATATAATAGCTTAGAAAATGTACCTATTTTATATAAGTTAGTGAATAAGTATTGAATTGAATAGTGTACTATAGCAAATCGAAAAAGTGTAGTTTTATAGGGAAAAGCCAAAGTGTGACTAGTTAACCAGATTGTGACGCCAAAGTACCGATTGTGACGCCAAACTACCGATTGTGACGTCAAAATTCCGATTGTGACGCGAAAATACCGATTGTGACGCGAAAATACCGATTGTGACGTCAAAATACTGATTGTGACAGAACTCAATAAGGACCAAAAAAAAAGAAATCATACTGCCCTAACAAGTGAAAAAATCACTTCAGGGTTAAATTGTTTATTATCATAGTCGTAGGTTATTGTTTAAATTATATTTTTGAAAGTTATTCTACATTGATAAATAAACTTCTTTATTATTATATTATTATTACATAAGTCAGGCTAATTTCTTAGGTGTATCGTCAAATAAGGAAAAACTTGTAAATTATTTGAAAATTCTGTGTTTAAAAAGTGCCATTTTGGTACCAAATTTGATATTGTGCCATACGGACTTTAGTTTTAATAGTATGTTTCGGTTTCCATAATATTATTTGAGAATATTATTAAAAGAGTGAGTATAGCAGCACATTTTGGCAAGAGTATTATTTACTTATTTTTGCGTTCAACCCGTTACCTAAAATATTAAATCTAGTGATTTGTATACAGTTTTACACACTGCTTTTATATGACATCTACCATATTTCTTTTATGAAAAACATTCAATTAATTTGCGTCAGCGTTAATAAAGTCGAATTTGCCAAAAGCAGTTTAAAAGAATCGAAGCCCAATCCGCCCAATTTTTATAAGCCCATAACTTTTTTGTTTTTAGACCGAACAAAAAATGATTTTGTAGGTATTTTTATTGGCAACAATTTTGTTCTCTTGTAGATTTTCAAAAAAGTTTATAGTTTTTGAGATATTTCCAAAGAAATAAATAAAAACACAATTTTTTAAGTTTAAAGCCCAATTGGGCGAGTACGGCCCATGCGATTTAGTGCGATTTTTAAGGAAACATTGTCGAGCACATAAATAAGGTATCCTGAAAATTTCAGCTTGTCCCAAATTTGTTCCGGGTTGGACCCCTAGTTTTATTGGCCTAATTATTGTGGTGTTGCCTCTTCCTTGACTGGCTGGCTTGTCATCGGATTCGAATCCTATTTCATGCCTTAGCAACGTTGGGATACTCGACTTTCTTTTTCGTCTCTAACAGTGTTCAAGGGATCAAAGAAGTTTTGGCTGAGTTACGTAATGAAAACCCCGCGGGAGACGACGACTTATCTTCGAGAATATTTCTGGGTCTTCCTGACAGCGCTTTCCTTGCCCTTGCTCTAGCAATTAACGATTCTTTTTCAAGAGGTGTGTTTCCGGATTGTCTTAAACTGGCTATTGTATTACCCCTGCATAAGGGAGGTGATGGAGGATCCTTCTAATTTTCGGCCAATTTCTATTTTATCAACACTCTCTAAGATGATTGAAAACCTCGTCAAAAAGAAAATCACATCATTTATAGCAGCAAATAATATCTTAGTGTCAACCAATATGGCATCCAAGCTTCCAGGGGAACGCATGATGCCATTTTTAAGTTTCTGGAGAATGTTTATTGGTCCATAAATCACAGAGAATCAACTGCAGCGGTATTTTGCGATCTGTCCCAAGCATTTGATTGTGTTGATCATGAGCTGTTGCTTTCTAAACTTGAGCGTTATGGTTTCAGGGGGACTGCTTTGGCTTGGTTCAGGTCCTATCTTTCGGGTCGCCAATTCAGGAAAAAATTATTCAGTTTGCCGATGATACAACTATTTTTTGGCCTCACCCTGATTCGGAAGTTCTAGGGGCCCTAATGGCATCTGAGCTGACTACTATTAGAGAGTGGTGCGCCTCTAATAAATTGGTTTTTAATCCGGGTAAGATTAGTGTTATGGGGTTTAAGTGCAGTGTTGACGGTCTGCGGCTTGATGATAATAGTCACATCCGAGATAGGGATGAGTGCCGGTTTTGGGCCTCCTTATTGACACGCGGCTTTGTTTTAAGAGGCACATTCTAGATTTGTGCAGCAAATTGTCATAAGGTTGTTTTGCATTGAAGTTGGCTAAACGGGAACTGGGAAAACGTGTTGCACGTATGGTGTATTTTGCGCTTGTTGAGTCGCGCCTCCGATATGGTTTACCGTTTTGGTGTTTTACATCAAAAACCCTATTCAATGTTCTTTTGACTCTGCAAAAGAGAGCTCTAAGGATTGTTTGTGGTGCGGGTGCTAGAGATTAGTGTAGACCATTGTTTGTTTCTGAGGGTAATTCACTTTTACCTGACTTTTTGTCTTGGATACCTCTGTTTTAGTTCACACATAGGTTCACAAATATCGTCATGAGTTCATAGTTACTGACTACTGAGAGTGGTTATATGACCCGTGGCTTAAACAATATTATGCTTTCCATTCCTTCAAGCACACTGACTAAGCGATCCCTTATTTATAAGAGCAAGCTTTCTTTCTTTCTTTCTTTCTTTCTTTCTTTCTTTCTTTCTTTCTTTCTTTCTTTCTTTCTTTCTTTCTTTCTTTCTTTCTTTCTTTCTTTCTTTCTTTCTTTCTTTCTTTCTTTCTTTCTTTCTTTCTTTCTTTCTTTCTTTCTTTCTTTCTTTCTTTCTTTCTTTCTTTTCTTTCTTTCTTTCTTTCTTTCTTTCTTTCTTTCCTTCTTTGTTATATTGCTAGTTTTGTCATAATTTTTGTGTTATTGTCCTGACTCCGAATAAAAGGTATTCAAAGCGTGTAGTACCTGATCCTATTCACAATCCGATGTCCACAGGTACAGGTAAATTTATCACCTTTCCATATCAAATAGCATTGAAAGGTGATAAAATTTACCTGTACCTGTGGACATCGGATTGTGAATGGATAATAGGCCTGTTCGCACCGAAATCACCAACTAGTCAGAGCGAATTTCATTGGTTGAAACTAGTTTTCTGACTGTTTCCAACCAATGAAATTCGCTCCGACTGGTTTGTGATTGCTGTGCGAACAGGCCTAATATCTAAGGTACGTCTGCCCAGCGACTTTGTGTCTACGGGGCAACGGTAAGGGGAATGCAGTTGTAAAAAAAAATGGCTGATTTCATTCATAAAATAACCAGCTGCGTGCGGAACTTTTTGGAAGTATAATAACTATAATATTGTATTACAACTCGTACACGAAAATTGACAATGACCAAATCCCCGCCACTGGATATTTCAATATAAATCGATATTCCAAGATGGAAGGATACAATGACAGGAGCCCTGGCCAATAGGGAGACGTAAGGTGACGTTAGCCCACTGACAACCGCATGGTTCCCCGTGGCAACGGCAATTCTGCCAAAAACACTACCAATCAGATTCATCCAGGCTGAATGCTTGCCAAATTGACAAAAGCTGATGGTATCTTTGTGGCAACATCCCACATTTACGTCCGAATTCCTTCCGTAGACTCAGAACCGCTGGGCAGACAATACATCTATATTTATGAACCTAATTCATATGAATTTTGTAAAGTTGATTATTTCAATAAAAGTTGGTAATATAGCGGCTCTCTCTAGAGTTTTAGTGGACCCGCAGAATCTGTGACATTATCTATAAACTTTGATTCTATATATTTTTTTTTCAGTAAAATCAAACAAAAAACAAGTTGAAATCACAAACTTGGACATTACTTCTCAAGCCCTAATATTTTTCTTGGCCGGATTTGATACAGTATCAAATGGAATGTGTTACACTTGCTATGAATTGGCACTTAATCCGGAAATTCAAGATACGCTGAGACAAGAAATAACCAGTTTGTATACAAACACTAACGGAAAGCCTTCTTATGAAGACATTTTGGGAATGAAGTATTTAGACATGGTAATTTCAGGTGAGGATTTGGACAATCTATACCAGAATCTACAATGTTATGTTATTGTAGAATCCCTAAGAAAATGGCCTCCAGCTCCTGCATCTGACAGAATATGCACCAAACCTTACACTTTGAATTCTGATACTGTTATACATTTAAACAAGGGCGATACAATTTTGATACCAATATACAGTATCCATCATGATCCCAACTACTATCCAGATCCAGAGAAATTTATTCCAGAACGATTCTCAGAAGAAAATAAAGATAAAATCAAACCATATACATATATGCCTTTTGGTATTGGACCTAGGGCTTGTATAGGATCTAGATTTGCTTTATTAGAAATAAAATCAGTCCTTTTCCATTTGCTCCATAAATTTGAAATAGTTCCGACCAAAAAAACTCAAATTCCACTAAAATTCCACAAAATTTCTATGAATTTGAAACCTCAAAAGGGATTTCAACTTGGAATAAAACGACTTTCAGTTTAATTTATGTTATATATTAATAATAATCACAAGAAAAAAATACAAGTAGGCAAAAATGAATTAACTTTCAGTTCAAAATAATATCACGCTTAATTTTATTTTTTAGGCCTAGTTTATTCATTTTCAGATAAACTTGCTGGTAACTATTTGCAAGATTAATTTACTTCTCTATAATTCTATTGGTCGGCAGATAACTGGCCAACTAATGGGATGGCAGATTGCGTTTTTATCCGCCAGATTGCATACCTTAGGGTTTATCAGAAGATGTATAAATCGGCTCTTAAGAGTAAAAAAATAAAATTAATTTTATTGAACACCAAAGTAAGTCTTGGTATTTTTTTTTTTTCAAGAACACTCCGACAATAATATATTAAATTTTATTATTAATTAGCTGTACCTAGTAGCATAGGAAAACATTTTTGCAAAATTTGTAGTTTCCAATAAAGAAAAATCCCCTCAAAGAATTGTATTTGAATAAAAGTCAATCAGTCACCAATTTATTAAATATCACAATAAAATATCGCCAGGCCTGGGGTTGAGAATAGAAGTTAGAAAACTACTTTCGTATTCAAATTGAATCACAAATTTCCCAAAATGTAATTCCAAGGTGCAAAATAGCAATGAAGCCTTTTGAACGCCGGCATTAAAATCTAAATTAGCTGTAAAACTCAACAAAAATTACCCAAAACAATAAAATAAATATTTGTAAAATTCTAATTTTCTTCGTCCATACTGAAACGTCTGCTCCTGTTGCGCGCGCCACGTCTAATTTGATTCAAACAGGCCAACATTCTGATCATAAAAGCAGCAGGAACTGTTATGGTGTCCCGGGTTTCTTCTAACATTATTGCGTTTCTATTGACCAGCTAAAACCAATTAGAAAACTCTTAATAACAAATTTTAAACTATAATTATCACAATTCAGATTTACTAAAAAAAAAAACAATTCTTACATCTGCTGCTAATTCACTATCGAACCCAGATTCTGGCAGACTAGGAGCCCACAACTTAATGTCATGATCAATACCACTAGTGGCTAAAATAGGAAACTCCGGATGCGGCCTCAGACAGTTGACCACGTGCTGATCTGCTTGCAGCAGCATTTGCACTTTGGCAGTGTGACGATCCCAAATGAATACGTGTCCGCAATCTGAACCGGACATTACGTAGTTCTCACCCCAAAAGGTCGCCTCTTTAATCATAGTCCTGGCATTTCTGTGGCCAGTGAATTTCCTTTTCATTTCAGCATCGTACGAATTAATACTTTTATAGTCAGTCTTTGGCATAGCGGGCTCAGAATTAGCTGGTTCTTCTTCTTCAGGATAATCTATGTCCATCTAAAAACAATTATATTATTATCACAAGGTTTTTGCAATCATAAGGAAATTACTTCTGATGCTCTTTGATTAGAATTACTAGAAGAAGGCCCTTCAACTTCAGCATTAGTAGTTGAAGTTGTCTGAGTGGTTGTGCTGTCATTGTTTGCTCTTAGACTTATTGTTGAACTAGAAGTACTTTGATCGGAGAACCTGCAACAAAAGTTTTCCGTATATGTACAAGAAAAAAAATTGTTTTGATACCTACCTAAAACTAATTGAAGGTTCTACTCCATGTTGATTTATAAAACCTTGCCTCAAATTTCTTAGTGCCGCCAAATGATTATGCAAAGTACTTGTTACAGGTGAATTTCCTACACGATTTGTTCCAGAAGTTGAAGCCTCTTGAAGAGGGGTGGCTGGTTCTGAGCTAGAAGTCTGAGGCCTAAATACAACAAATTAACAAGTGAATGTTACTTTATCTAGTACTCACTGTGCATAATTTCTAGCTTCTGCATCCTCACCAGAGTCCGTTTCCATGCTACCAGCTGCTTCCTGAAATAGCATAATATTAACATTAACAAAATATTTAAGTGAGTTCATACTTGGGTTTCACTAGCTCCACCTCCACTTGGTTCCACGTTTCTTTGGGGATTTTCCTCGGCGTCCAACGAGTCCTCGCCACCAGCAGAGAGGGCGGCACGTGTCATGGGGTCGTTAAGCATGCGCGATAAAACGTCTGTCATGCGTTGCATTAAGGTGGTTGGCAGTTGAGGTCTAGCCTGACCAATACCGATTCCTGAAAGATATCAATCAATCATAAATTACTTTATTATTCAACATGCAATCTTATCGACATCGTGTTTACAAGACCAAATAGGTACATGAAAAAGCAACGTCACAAAATTTTTCTGTTATTTCTGTTATATTAAGTGCAAAAGCATACAACCAAACATTATACAAAAATAGGACGATAATTTAAATTGTACAAACATTTGTCCCTCGCAAACTGTAAATCAGCCTTTTCGAATTTCCCAATTTCCTTCATATTCCTGATATCAGCAGGAATGAGTCTATAGCGTTTAATGCCCTGATAATAAGGGCCGCTTTTGAAAAATGTGGAGCGATGAGTAGAAAAGCGGAGTTTATCCCTACCTCTAATAAGTATACCAATATTATTGGCATAGCCATCTTGATTGGTTGCGAAAACGTGTCGATTTTTTTTTTGGTACAAAAGTGACCAGTGCAATAAAATACAATCCAGACACAGTAAGTATATTCAAGCCCTCAAAGAACGGCCTACAAGAAGATCGGGAATGAAGATGTAGCATACACCTAATTATTCTTTTTTGACTTTTAAAAATCTCATCAGAATTTGGATGCTCCCTAATAGCGATTCCATAATTTATCTGACACTGCGCATAAGCAAAGTAGAAAAGTGGAATGCAGTCAAAGGACATGCTGACTCGAAGTCTGCGTATCAAGGCACATGCACTATTCAGTTTGCATTGAAGGCTTGTAATGTACCATCGTCACCAAAAGTAACTGGGACAGCATCACATTAGCTCTTGTCCTATTATATGAATTTTATTGTCAAATATTTGTCAAACTATGCATTAAATGCATTGAAATGAATGACAGTAGAATTAGTCCAGGAGATTATTATGCAATATTTGTGTCCCAGATACTTTTGGTGACGATGGTACCTTGTAAAACAGAATCAATGTGGATTCCAAGACACTTCAAGGAGGTTCTGTTTGGAGTGGATTTATGATTATAGTTTACATACAAAGACCCAGCATTCACCCCGCCTTTGTTGAATACCACAAGCCCAGTCAAGTCAGTATTTAGCCGAAGGCCATTTTCACTGCACCAGGTAGCCATCTGACCCATCGATAACCCGAACAACCCATAAGAAAACTAGAGAGAGTCCGGCCTTACAACACGACTAATGTATCATCATCGATCATCATACTGACAGAAAAGACCCCCTTTCACCGAGCCAGGCAGGTCATTCACATACAGTAAGAAGAGCAATGGTCCCAGTATGAAACCCTGTGGGTCGCCCTTCTGTATCAACATACTCTCCCTCCGTAAAGTATTAATGTCCATCATGTAGGATTGACACAGTCTAACACCTGTTTTCCAAATAAGACGCTCAGAGCCTGGCATCCATGCTCCTCACCCCATAACTCTCCCACTTCCACAACAAGAGCTTGTGATGAATCATAGTGAAAGCCTTCGAAAGATTAAAATAAAGGCTAGCAACCTTATCACCCTCATCAAGGCTTTCGATAATAGCGTTCACTCTCTGAAATAGTGCCATTTCAGTAGATTTTCCTGGGATAAAACCAAATTGTTTGCCATTAAGAATCCCACATGGGATGACAAATGCCAGTAGTTGATTCTACAAGAAGCGAGATTGGCCTGTAATTTCGAAAGATCATGTACATCACCCCTCTCATGGACAGGCACAACCCAATTTTAAGAATTTCATCCTGGTCAATCGGTTTTAACCCTTTACCGTTATAAACTTTTTATGCAAATATCACAGAGAGATAGGAATTGTTGAGATAGATAATGTTAAATCTCCTAAACACATACCCAGTGATTCCGATACTCGAAAAAAAAGAACTGGCTGTATAGGGTGGTCTAGTTTGGACACTTTCAATAGAAAACGTATTTCTGACTCCCACTCTGAGACTCAAATTTCATGAAATCCTGATTGGTGCAAACAGCATTTCGGTATCTTCAACCGTATTCGATTTGGCCCCGATTTCGAAATATCTTAATTCTAACAAGAATTTTACCTTTTTCTGTATTTAATAAAGTTTTTGCACAGGGGCTCACAAACTTGATTTTTTAATTTTCGATATTCTTTCAAATGACCATATCTCCTTTATTTTCGAGAAAATGTTTATTGAGAAATTCGTTCACTTATTTTTTTAAGTTCTATGTCGTCTCAAAAGTAAAACTCCAACTTGAAAAACACCCTGTATATTGACACTATCTCTCACGTTTTCAACTCGTCTGGGTAGGTAACTGTTTCCAGAATCTCATCTATAATATTATTCATATTATTTTGTATGATGTTGTACCAGCTTACTGGGTCTTTTTTATTTTAGTAATACAAGCATTTCTTGGTGCAGTATGGTTTTTTAGGTTGGTTATTGTCGTGTTCTAAGTTCAAACTCATTTGTAGGTTCAAGCAAGGATTCTGTTACTTCTTCTTCTGGAAAAACGTTGTTCTGATTTTTTTGTATTTGTGATGCTTTAGCTTTAGTCCCACATTTGAAAAATAATAACTGAATTAATCTGCATTGTCCTTATAATTTTCAAGGGTCTGTCCATTAGGGTTTACAATTCTATATATTTTTGATTCAAGCTCGTTTTTTTTTTCCGCATAGGTTATTCAGTGTTTTCTTACTGTTTTCCTTGGACATCTGCAAAGTTACAATAAAAAGTCACATTGTTTGTTATTCTTAATTTTATTTTAGGAATCTTAAATTTTATTCTATAAATTAAGGAACAGTCTCTATATCTCATGTAATTTACAATATAAAACACAAACAAAACAGAGTGCATACTACGCCTTTCAGTAACTGCATTTCAAATTCTTCTAAGATACTTGCATAGGATATCATAAACGAATAGATGTGTTGTTTTAGATAAAGGTATCTCAAAATTATTTTTTGTACTTTCTGAGGTCATTATTGGCCTCAGCTTGGGGAGCCCAAATGACAGAGGCCTTGAAGTGTGGTGTGTTCCTGATAATAAATCCCAAAGACCTATACGCCTTAGCAACAACATTCTTATAGTCAGTATTAAACCTTATTAGAATTTTGTCCACAACAATTTCAAATGAAAGTCAGTTTTTGGCTTATTGGACGTTAATTTAATATTGAAATCAATGCCGACGTTTCGGTGTACTCCACACCATCTTCAGGGCTGTAACAATAGAAACAAGAACCCTACTTAATTTACCTTGCTATGACAGCGAATATTCTTTTAAGACAGTTTTACATATTTCAACTGCAATTATAACACATTTCACATTACCCGTTTAAGGACAGGTGTAATGAAAGCTTTTTTGAGGCGGTGGAGGAAATTCATTTTCACATAAGGCCAAGTTAAAAATAAGCAAAATTGACTCGGAGAAAGATTCTGCACATCCCTTTATAAATATAGGCTGGAACACTGTCGCTTCCAGTAGCCTTTTTGGCCTTTAATCTAACTTTTTCGTGATACAATCTAAAATCTTCTTTGGTTTTATACTTGAAACTATTTCTTAAACTATTATATTCGTCAACTATGACTATGATAGAACTTGCTCTACCATTTCTGATTTTCCTATGCAATCGATTTTTCTGCTGAATTTTCTTAATTAGATTCAATGAAAAGAAAACTGGATATTTCCGCGATTTATTTGGTTTTTCGTAACTTTTTTTTCTTAGGATAGCTTGATTTATGCAAGAATGAAGCTTAACATAAAATATATCAACACAGGTATTGACAATTCCAGCCAGTCAGTGTCCTTTAAAAGTTGGTACAAGAGGGCAAAGATCACCCTTTGAATAGTCATAAATATATCAGGTGCATATATGATTAATTGACTTGTCCATATATCTTTTATCTCTTGCAATTGCTACACCTCCACCCCTTGATTTGCCATTATCCCTGTCTTTTCTGATAATGCGGTATTTGTTATCAAATACTTCAACATCTTCAATGCCATCCATGAGCCATGACTCTGTTATAACTTTAGTATAATTAGTATGTCAAAATCCGTAGCCAAGACGCTAGTTGATCAAAGGCCTCTAACATTTTGATAGTAAATTCTCAACTCTGATTTATTTCTCGGCTTTTTTTCAAGGGGATGTGTGTCAATTTTATTTGTTTTTATATTGCCTGAGGATCTGCTTGAACTGGCAGCATCCTCCTCCTGGTGAAAAACTTTGAAACCACAGCACCATTAGGCCAGACATCACGTTTCCATGCTTGTTTTGGGTCCTCCTGTCTTATAGTAACCTTCATTAAGGTGTAGAGATCGGGATGCCTAGACTCATGTTTTTCACAATGTCGGGACTTGGGGACCAAGACTATGTATTTATGCATTTTATTTAAAGTTTGTGCCTGCATAATAGCCAAATGCGGGGTAATTATTTTATCCCAGTTTGGTTTATTTCCTCCTCTTTTTCTTGTACTTTCATCTGCAGTTTCTGGTTGTGGTCTATTAGGTTCTTGACTTCTGATTTAAGTGTTTCAATTAGCTTTATCTTCTCATCAAAATCATCTGACATGAATGCTAGGGATTTTTCAATTTCTGAAAGTTCCGATTCTATTAGTTTTATAAATGGCAGAATAAGTCTTTCTCCGCGTTATTTATCTCCTTTTCCTCCATATTTTGGTTCTTACCGTTCTTACAACAGTTCACTACCACTTGAAGAGCGGTTTGTAGAAAGTTTTCAGAAAAGACTTGAAGAACCCTCTTAAATAAAAATGTAGATCCTAATGCCTCATACCACAGCAGACGAAATGAAACATTTGCAAACTCCTCTTCCACAAAAGGACAATTAAGGCAGTGGTTGAATAATCGTGGAATTCCGAATGACAGTTTAAATTTAAAGGCTGGCCTATTAGCAAAGGTAAAAACAGACTTGTACTGGCATGTTATCGATGAAATAGCATTCAAGTATGGCCAAGAAGTTCCACACTTGCCACCTTACCACTGCCAGTTCAACGCCATAGAACTGATTTGGGGTATATCAAAAAGTTTTCATGACAAACGGGCTTGAAGAACACCAACAGCAGAAACTGTGGAATGGTACCTTGTCTAAAGCGACCCCAGAAATGTTGTTCAAGTCTATAAAACATGTGCAAAATATGATATTGACCACCTACGAAAGGGAACACACGCCAATTATTATTTTTACCTAAAAATTTCTAGGGGGTTTTAGTGTTTTTGTGTGTATACTCAACTTGAGAAAATTGTATGTTTATTCATTATTGTTACTACTAGTAGGCAACTATCTCAAGAAAAGTTCCTTTCGATTTTTACCTCTGTTGTATCCTGTATTTAAAAGAATAATTGTTTGATTATTAATTATTTTTTGACTATTTTTTCTTAGGATTTCTATTTTGTATAATGAAGATAAGACAAATGTGAATAGGTAATCAAAGATTTATAGTTATTAATTCTAACTTTAGTTTTTTTTAGTTTTTTCAGATTTTGTGATTTGCCTATATTTCCAGATATCTCAGATTCAGAAAAATGTCATGTGTATTTTAAATTAACAAGATTTTGAAGATTATAAAAATGAAATTTTCAATAAAAAGTTTCATCTTATTTACATCTATTATGATTTTGTCAAATTTAGAGCTAAAATACAGCAGTTCAGATGACAAAGATACAGTTTTTGAGCACTTTAACTATCAGATTCTATGATTGGCTCATATTTTTTCTGAGCCTCAAATCTAGAGAGAGATTTGAAAAGAAGCTTCATTGGCTCATAAATCTTGAAGCCAAGAGTTTTCTTCGAAATTTTCCGATTCTGTGATTCGCTTAGGTATATGTATTTCCAGATGGTTTATTATTTTGGAAGTGTTTTCCAGAAACCTTGTTTTTCCTAAACAACTGCAGCGGGAATTTGAAACAAAAAATGATATTTATGTCAAAAACTATAGGAGATAAATTGACAGAACTTGGGTGGACCAAACTCAAAATTGCCGGCCGACCGAACTATGTTGAAAAAGATGCGAGTTTCTATTTGAAATAGGATTGTTAGTGCTTACATTACACCCTGTATAGTTGAAGATCTGAACATATTCTAGGTGACACTGGAACGATTGATTATGGCTACAAACCAAATTTGAAGTTTCTAAGTCCTCTGCAAGCTCAAAAACTTCTAATGCGCAGGCTACGTAAATCACTGTTCGTTACAATATGGGAAAAATTAGGTATTGAACCGCGAAAAGTGGGGTTAGATGGCAAAATATTTATTTGAAAAAGTGATTAGAATTCTGTTTTAGGGCTGTATGCGAAATTTGAAGCAAAAGCAACAAAAAATAGGAAATTACTTGTTTTTCGCTATAGATATGCTCATGAAGTTGCCGTCATAACAGTAAGGTTATCGGACATGCAGGATCGATCGCATATAAGAAAAAATTTCATATCCTAGAAATTAAAAATTTTCCCATATGTAGCGAACATTATTGGAGACAATGTATACACAACATTAGATGAGCCCGCCCTAAGTTTGACTTTGTTATATTTCGCATGATTTCTCGCCATGCCGAGTTTTACAACTTATGGGTAGCCTCTGGGTGCACAGATTATACTGTTCATAGGTACTCGATTGGTACTTTCTTATCTTCCTCGAAACATGATTTGACCAATAGATAGAAAATGGAAGCACATATATCCAAATTCACTCAAAGCATCTCCAAAGCACAGAGTTGTGACTCAATCTAGTTCTTAAAAGATGAACAAGTACCTTTTATTCAAATAGCTAGAAATCAATTTTAAAAGTTCCCTCACATAAAAATATCTTGCTATCCAAATTGGGCCTTTGAACTTTCAACCACTTTTTATTAGTTTTCAGCTGTATCTTCATCTTTGATGTCTGGATCTGTCTCAATTCTGGGAAACTGACTCCGAAAGAGCAACCATTATCATAAATCTTCACCAAATTTTTTAAATTCAACTCAAGGTATTTGTATTCTACTTTGGGAGTAGGTACTAATTATTTCTATTGTTCATTTCTTCAATGATCAACTTCAATTTTTGATGATTTTTGATCAATTATCAGTAACTTTTCCGCCACGTAGCTGTCGGTAACATGAATATAAATATAGTCTGGCAAGCCAGACGGCACACTGCAAAGGAATTTGCTGCTTTGTCAAACTTAACAGAAACAATAATAAGCAAGCTGCTCACATATTTTTTTGAAATATGGGTATGTGTAGTATTTTGAAATAGAAAAAAATCCGGCAACATTGCGAAATGAAGAATGTGGACAGGCGTGATTATTCAGAGGCATGATTATATTGCACACTCAAATCAAATAAAGAAATATTTAACACAAACAGCATAAAGTAAAAAAATCAATGATACTAGCCCCCTAAATATCACTAATTCCTTACCAAAAGTACTAGTAGTATCCCTTTCAGGTCGAGCATCCGGTCCTGTATCTGACCAATCGCCTCTCAATCTCAATCTTCTAACAGGAGGCGGTGAAACTCGTTCCCGTTTGGCTCGAGCAGCCCTGGCTGCAGCTCTATATCTATCCCAGGGCCGCATAACGGGTTTCTTAAGTTCTGTGGCAACAGCATTGCTTTCCTATAAAAATACAGTTGATACACTTTTTTTGGCAATTGCTAGAGCAATAAAAACTGTGATTACCTTTAGGTTAAAAAGATATAAATAATCGGAAGAGTAACTGACGAGCATTTCCTTGCCATCTCTGTCATAACTTAATGAAGTGATTCTGTAGTAACGTTCATCTCCAATTTTGGGTGCTGCGAAAGTGCAAAACGGTTGGGCCAGTAAATGTTCTGAAACACACAAATGAATTTTTTTGGATTACATTTTTTTCAAATCTACCTCCTGGAGTGACACTTAAAAATCTTCTGTCGTAAATTCTTACTGTTGTATCGGCACAACCAGCGGCTAATTGATGAGTAGCTCTCGGATTAATAACCAAAGAAGTAATGGCTCTTTGACAAGACACAATCACGTTGTCTTTGCATTTGTGTTGGGAACAACTAGAAATTAGATGATATTAATTTATGATTGTCAAGATTTCACATTAATATTTACCTGCTTTTCTCCCTTAAATCAAACCACCTGACAGTACCATCCTCTCCACAGCTCATAAAAGAATGAGGACTATCAGGCACCGTAACAATTTCATAGGTAGTAGTACCGCCGTGACAATGAAACTGATTGTGATAGGTTTCATGTTCGTAATGCAAATCGCTATGCAAAACAAGTCCATCCCCGGAACAACTAACAATCTGTGTGTCATTGGTGTAAGGCAAAAATTTTGCGCTAAATATATTCGCTTTGTGACTGGTGCAATAGTTCTCTTCGACTTTATAATTGAAGCCGTTAGTGATGACCAAGTGCTGGTCGTCGGAGCCGGACAAAAGCAAGTTGCCTCTGTCGTTCCAGCATATGGTATTTACGCAGCCCCTATGTACCGGCAAGCTTTTGATGACGCCGAGACGTTGAACCATAGATAGGTCATCTGGAATCGAGGAAAAAGTAAAAATTTGTTTCACAATTGTTTATTTGTTCTTGAGTAACAAGGAGGAGGAAAAGGTTCAAACATACATAAAGCATTTAAAATAACAATACTCAATACAAACACGCACAATATTGAAATTGGTCACCATAGTACTACACGTTTGTGATATATTTTTTCCCCCAATGACTCCTTGTTGAAGAACTAAAGAGATTATTAAATCAAGTTGTGGTCTGATTTGCCCAAAGGTGCAAACATATCCAACTTGGGCTTCGCAAAACTACAAGACTAGTCTTGGTCTTGGTAGCAGGACTAAAACCAAGACCAAGACCAAGACTTAATAAATCTTCTCAAGACCAAGACCAAGACTTGATGCTCAAGACCAAAGACTTGGTCTTGAAAAGAAAAATCGACTCAATATTTAGAAAAATAATGCATCAAATTTATTATTTTTTCAAATTCACGAGAGGGTTCTGAAACACCTTTGTTTGGCCTGAATGTTCAGGTAGGGTGAGGTAGGTTTATTCTTATGGTTCAAATAGAAATTTATTTTTTCCTCAGCACAGAATGGCAATTTTATAGTGTGTTTGTCAACTTTCCTGTCCCGTTAATAAAAATTCTAAGTTAAGAATTGATGTTTGTTTGTTCCTCTGTGTTGTGAAATGCTTTATGCGGTATTTTTTGACATGAAACGCTGTTGCTGGTAAAAATAGCCTGTGAAGAAGACCAAATGTCAGCATAATTTTTTCTGGTTCTAAACCCATCTCTGCTCTGTCATTATGTGTTATTATTATATGTATATTTTAAGAATTTGGTAGGCATACATTTTTTTCAAGACTATCAAGACCAAGACCAAGACTGAGTCAGTTGAAACATCAAGACCAAGACCAGACTAACACCTCATTTATTTTTCGAGACCAAGACCAAGACTGTCTTGGTGTTGGTCCTACGAAGCCCCAAACAAATCGAGTAAATTGATGGAATCGGGAATATGTATGGGCTCTTCTACCAACTGCGTTAGGCCGTGTGAACTGGCAAATGCTTCAGCCTCGGCTTCAGCAATCCTCCCAGCATGGATTGTTTTTTGTTTTGGAACAGAAGCCACTCTGAGTTATGAACATTAAAATCTCCCAAGAATAAAATTTCAGAGATCAGATGGGTCTCCTGGATAGAATCAAATGAATTTTCCAGATTTCCAAAAAAAAGTTCATAACTGGAGCTCGAACTGGAGTTGTTGGGTGAAAGATACATGCAACCAACAAACTCAACACAAAATTGTTTTCTTCATCCAAAGAGTTTTTCATATTATTTTGCCACCAATTAATTGGTTGATGTTGCTAGCGCTTAGCAGTACCACTAGACAGGGACTAGACAATAACAGAAAACATCCAGTTTCTTAACTTTGGTTCATTAGTTCAAGCAGTTATAGAAATAAATCTGTTACCAATGACTTCAAATGCTAGTTTCAAAATTCAAGTGTTTATACCATCAATAGTACTTTTAGATCTTTCCAATATTGGATTGGAAAGTTTTAGAAGTCGAATTAAATCTGCCGTGTGACTGTTTTGTTATTAGTTTTTAGTTTTTATCAAGGTTTTTATTGTCTGTAAAAATTACTACATGTTATGCTTATTGTTTTACAATATGATTGAATAGTTTACACCGAGGGGTTTATCGTTTATCACCTTGTTAATTGGTGTACAAATCACTGGTTAATATATGTCAATACCAGGTAAATACTATGTCAATAGTGTCAATACTATGACTATGCGATACCTCCTTGTTAATTATGTAGGTAATATATGTCAATACTTGTAGATATCTAGGCAATATATGTTAATGTCATTGGTTGATACCTGTGGATATGTCAATACCTAGAATCAGGGTTGGCAAATATCATGATATTTATATAAATATCCAATTATCCGATATATATCGATATACAGCGTGTCCGTAATGTAACGGATAAATTCATTATTTTGAAAACGGTAGAATTTTTGAAAAATACAGATACATCAATTTTGTTTTAAATTTTTTTGATATATTTTTCATTATACAGGGTGTCTCAAAAATAGCTCCGCTGCTATCAACTTTGTTTTTTCAAATGGATCAGCCTGTATATTATGACAATTATGGATTCTGCGGGAAATTTTTGACATATTTCATGTATAATGTCATATACCTTCAACTGTTTCAGAAATATTGACAGTTGAAAATTGATTTTTTTGCAATTTTGACAGGCTATAAAACCTGAACGGTTAATTTTAGAAGAAAACGGATTTCACATTCCTATCTTAGATTTTCATAAACTATCATTTGACACCAACTTTGAAGTTAATCCGTGATTAAAAATTCCGGTTAAATTTAATCTCCAGTTAAATTCAAAGTTAGTGTCAAATGATAGTTTATGAAAATCTGAGACAGGAATGTAAAACTGGTTTTCCTCTAAAATTAACCGTTTAGGTTTTACAGCCGGTCAAAGTTGCAAAACAGTCAATTTTCAACTGTCAATATTTCCGAAACAGTTAAAGATAGGTATATAACATTGTACATGAAATATGTCTAGAATTTTCAGCAGAATCCAGAAATGTCATAATATACAGGGGCTACCATTTGGAAAAATAAAGTTGATAACCGTACAGCTGTTCTTGGAACACCCTGTATAAAAAAATTAATATGGAAAAATTTCAAAAAAAAAATCTTGATCGACGTGTTTTTGCGCTTTGTCCACATATTTTATCCGAAGGCTCTAGCGAATTAGTTCCAGTTAAAGTCCCCACCCTGTATATACAACTTGAAAAGTAACTAAAAAATAAAATGTAAAATAATTCATAAAATAAATAAACCAACAGAGCAAAACTGATCACAAACAATACAGTAATTTAAAAGTTATCACAGGATCAACCATCCAGTATGTCACAATTACTTAGCATATAAATTTTTTAATCAAATTTCACAGTTTTAGCATTTTACAAAGCAAATCACATTACTAACAGAAACAATCAATCAATCAATATAAACGGAAATCATAAGAAAACAATAAAAAACATCCTTGCAAAATACAATTGTACAATTATTGAAATGGATAAAGACAAGAGTCAGAATGGACAAAAATGGACAAAAACCTGATCAAGATGTCTTGTTAAATGCACAAAGACTATGTTGACTTAGGAAACAAGATCATTTTTCCTAAGAAAAAACAATTTTAAATTTTTCTTGAAACCATTCAGAGATAAACTATTTTTAATATTATTAGGTAACTTATTAAAATCATCCAGACCTTTAAAAAAAACAGAATTTCCAGCAAGCTTTTTATTTCTACGTTGTATATAGAAGTTCTGCTGCTGCCTTGTATTATGACCGTGGACGTGGTTGTTAACTGTTAATTTGTTTTTCAAATAGGAGGGTGCATTACCTACTTTTATTTTGAAAATGAAAATTAAGACGTTGTACCGAAAAAATTCCTGCACAGGGAGCCATTGCAGTTGTCTAAGCATGGTCTTAATGGAGGTGTACTTATCACATGATAGTATTATTCTCATAGCGCGGTTTTGCATTTTCTGTAAGCGGTTTATTTCATTTTGCTGCAACAAATACAAAATTGTTGCACAGTATGTAAAGTGTGGTAACACCAATGCATTAAAAACTACTAATCTTGACCATCTTGATAAACTATGCGAACATCTGCTAAGGTGACTAATTCCATAGCTTATTTTTGAGATAGTTAAGTTGCAGTGCTCCTTAAATGACATTTTGTCGTCTATAACTACACCTAGATATTTAATTTTTTTGACACTAACTAAAGCCTCATCACCCATTACGATATTATGTTGGTTAACCAGAAATAACTGCTTTATGCTTTCCTTTGCGATTAGAATATAGTTTGTTTTACTCTTGTTAACCTTAAGAAAATTTCTCTTGCAATACTGATCAATTTTCCCTAGAACAGTATTTATTTTGATAACTAAATGTTCAATGTTTTCAGAAGATCCATAAAACAAGGTATCGTCAGCGAAAAGATGTAAAGAACAAACAAAATAGGGGCCAACACACTCCCCTGCGGAACTCCCAACTCATTGGAAATTTGCTCAGACATTTTTCCATTCAATTTCACAAGTTGTCTTCTGTCTGTTAAGTACTACAAGTTTTGTATTTAGTTTTCTTGTCGATCTCCGTTAGTATAGGAGATATGGACCACCGCGCGCTTAGTAACTCACCCTGTATATCAAAATTTGGATATTTATTTATATTTTTAATTATAAGAAATCTACAACTTAGGGCGGGTATTATAAAACTATTTTGACAGAATAATTAGAAGTCAACTTCTGGAATGACATTACTTCTCATAGTAATTCCTGAAGTTAACTTTTAGGTATCTGTCAAAATAGTTTCATGATACCCACCCTAAAAACCTAATATTTCTTATACCTATAGAGTCCGTCCATAAACTACAGTAGCGCCCTCTTTCGACAGCAATGTAAGTTCTTGTATTATGGCAAGTGCTTGATTCCATTTACACAAATGTATTTTTTTTTTATTAAAAACGATTTCAAAGCGAAATATTTTTCATTATAAAGGTATGGTTGTTTACACGGAAAAATTGTATTTAATTTCACTTTTTTTCTTGTAATTATTATTTGCCAAACACTTTTTATTATCATTTATTCAGGCTATTGTGCATACCCACTACTTGTCATGCCTTTACCCAGGAACAGTTTCACAAATTGTTGTGTTGTTAACTGTGGCAATAATTATGCCAACACAAGTGGAAATATTCACTTCTACAGTTTTCCTAGTCGGTCCCATGATCAGGAAAGACACAGGAACTATACACTGAGTTTTCGTATTGATTTATGGTGTTTTTTTTTCATAAAATAGATTTTGACATTGTCAACTTTGAAACATAAACAATACCTCTTGGCTCTGATTGGTCGCAAAATGAGGTGTCCCTGCAGGTTGACATCATGGTGATTTCCATTTGCCAGTCAGTGCGCAGTGAGTGT